CGATTCTTGCTTTGATATCCTCGTCCGGCTGTAGCTGAAACGATGCTCCCCTGGTAGGTAAAAGAGGTTGCTTCTTTCAGGCTCCTTCCATTTATGTTGATCGTTGTCTGATATTGTTGTTCTTGTCCAGGAATCTTCATCACCTCTGTGTTCTCTATGTTCACCTGAAGTCCTATCTTTTCTAGATGCTTCTTCTGCCAACTTGTTGCTTTTCGCTTGCATATCTTCCAGTTTGTGGGAAATCAGACATATATCATCGGCGAAGTCCAGATCCTCCAAGTTTTTTGTGTGAGTCCATTTTATGCCTTTTTCCTCATTGCCTGCTGGCATGCAGCATTGTCGTACAGCTGTTGGATGAGATGTATAATTGTCGGTGGCACCCCGTAGTAGCGAAGTAGTTGTCAAAGCACCTCTCGATCGACGCTGCGCTGTCTGCTGAAGGCCTTTTCAAAGTCGATGAAGTTGAGATAGAGAGGTGACTGCCATTCCATGCTTTGTTCAATCAGCGGGGATGTGCAATAAAGCCACTCCTTAAACAACAAGAGTCCTTGGTCTGACTGCTATGTAGTAACTGATGCTTTCGAAAATAATGATCGAGTAAATTTTCATGGATCGATTTTACCAGTAGCAGAACCCTTTGCGCAAATTTGTTTTGATGGTTTACTTGATGCTGTTATCATGTAATCTAGCTACACAAATGTGCACATTGAAATCCTTCAGTTTCTTGACTATTGATGCAACTATATGCTCGTTCATTGAATGAGGTTGGGAATGAAAACATTCATCTCTAAGATATTGACTGTATATTGGACAAGAAATGACGCTGGACTTATCTAGGATGTTGGTTGAAATCTTGCTTGGTAAATATTTTTGTGCATAAGTTATGATGAAATTGTGTTATATGTTTTCTGCATTGATAGAAATTCTCATTTTCTGACAAGTCATATTAGTGTCCGCATTATGTCACTTTTTATGTTTCAGTTGCACACAAGTTTAGCGGTCGATTGCTCGACTGCGCTACATTACCTTAAGTATTGCTTCCGAACTAGTTTTATCGTAAGTTTTTCGTTTCAATGTTAAGGATTACAGTTGACTTTTATGTTTAACTCTGGATTTTCACATTGATTTTACTTATTGTATATTTTATCATCAAATTTGTATCATACGGCCACAAATATTATTCCCTTGGGTCCCGAGTTCAACATTGGGCTTCAACAACACATTTCCACTTCTTTTTTCTACCATACTTTTCAGCTTGGCCGGTGATTGACCGTGATCTGTCATCCTCCCTGCACGATATCCCCCATGTCACCCTAGGACGACTCACTCGTCACCTCCCTTTGGGATTCCACTAGAGGACTTGACGCGCGATATCATTCGACGGCATCCTCAATGAATGCCTGACTTATCTCCTTTTCCTCTTGCGTATTTGTTGAGAGACTGGCTCCTGGTTAGTTTGTTGCCACATATGACGCCAATCCAATCTAGCGATTTAATCTTCAGTATACAGCCAATTGAAACAGCTGTTACTAAAAGCCTGTAGCGTGTTGGAAATCCTTTTCGTAATAAACACACCAAATAGGTGATCCGTATTAAAGCGCTGAATGACTTCACATTCGCGTTAGTAATCCGACTATTGTTCTTTATGCTAGCTGAGTGCAGATTTCCAAACTGGTTTCAGGTTGATCAAGGGTATCTTGCCTTACCCAGTCTGACTTTGACATCTTCATCCATTCCACCTGTAGTTGAAACAGTGCTTCCTAGATAAGTTGAAGAAGTAAACTCTGTCAATTAAATAAATTATGATTAAACCAGGAGATAATTGTTCAGCCAATTGTATCAAAAGAAGTTCAAGTATTCAACAGAAGCACTCGATGTGCGTCTTAAGTTACGCCACAAGCTTATTATACTGTCTAAATTGAGCTGTCATATTCCGAACCAAGACTTGCTTTCTGTAGTGAATAAATTCCTAAATGGTTTGATTTTCCGCAAAATCCTAATTTACCATAAAATGGCATTATCAATGTACAGTTCAGAATAAGTTTATAATTTAGACAAAGCAATAAAAAGACGTAATTTGTCTGAGTCGTGTAATGTTTCTGCGCAACACATTTCGAACAATCTGATCACACACGGACTTGTCATAGGAATATATATATATATATATATATATATATTTGAAACTAATAAAGAGTTAACATTAAGAAAATAGACTTAGGTCAAGTTAAAAGGACATATTGAAGGTCAAAACAACAATGAAGATCACTAAACCAAATAACTGAGGTAATAGTACATCTGCTATAGTATCAAAACAAAGTTTACCAAGGAAGGTAGGTTTAATGTGATGACGAATTGTTTTTGAACGCATAAAGGTGGTTTAAACTTTCTAATTGCTAGGGCTTCCACAAACTTTAGGATACGCCCCAAATACGTTTTATAGATAGGCTTAAAAAATGTGTTAATGTCAATTTTATGTCCTGTCTCTATAATGTTACACAATAGGGAAGCTAGGTCTCCTGTTCTGACCAATAATAGGTTCTGAACATTCTATTTGTTTCTGGAGCCATTTAGGAATATGCTCTGAAGTCCTTACTTGCAGAGGTCGATGAGTCCTCTCTATGTATGTGTCCTCTACTAAGAGCCTATATTAAATTCTTTAGCTGGTACCTTTTTAGGTTTAAATTATGGCTCAAGGGAAACTGTCTTTATATCTTTACACATCAGTGCAAACTAAATAGCTCTGATGAACAGATGATATCCTATTTATTCGGCTACATTTTAGTGGTGATTGAAGTTCACCTGAATTCTTAACTAGTGTAATCTATGGAACGTTATAGCTTGATATGTGAACTAGGTGTGAAACTGGATTTATATTGTAAGATGTCTTGTAGTACGTCGGAATCGTCAAGATGTGTCACTGGATAAATTTCAGATGCAAAACAGTCGCATAATCGTCGAAAAAGACAATAAAAAGCATTGCAAACATGGTATTAGCACTCAAGTTGTAGCTTATGTGTTGTTATAATGTCTCTAATCATTACACAAATGATGCATCCATTCATACAGGTGACTGTAGGTTACTGTACTTTGAGATCCATTGATATTTCTGACACTTCTTCAACATAGTCATGGCCTTAACCTTAACTGTAGACCCGAAGTCTTCAAACCCATAACCCTACCTACTAGTGTAGATTTGCAGAAAAAATATCTAATGAATAAGTAGAGTACTGTATCTACCCTCTCCAAGTCCCAAAATGCAGGCATGATTTGATTTGGAGGTCGACTTTTGAAAGACCTTGACTTCAGCTATAATACTTTAACTTCACCGATCGCTCTTCAGAATTTGAGTGACAACTAGGTAGCCTTGCAGTCTTCAAGAGGACCAGATTTGATAAAGAAGTTAGAGCGAATAATTAATGACGTATGATTTTGGAGTTATTTGCTATTTAAAGACTTCCTCACTGTTCGGACAGGGTTGTGATACTGTGTGACTTCGCTTACTCTTGGAGTAGTGAGTAGCAAGTTTTCACTGCATAAACGATTAGCAAAATGCAGTTATAACTGTAATAGGCTTTGTGATCTACCGCTTGCCTAGCTGATGCTATCCACCAGTCCTATTCTGGATAAAGTACATGAAATGTGCTTTCAACAAGTAGATATTTCAGGAAAAATGTTTCTTAAGACAAGTCGCTCACTCAACCATATTTGTGTGATGGTACATTCTACATAGTGAAAACTAAGTATTCAACAGACTTGAGAAACTCACCTCAGGCTACTTAAAGTTAAGAATGAATACGTATTCAGGGAAATGAGACATGCCGGTTATCGACCACGCAAGGGTCCACAACTTCCTGGTTGTCTTTCGATGTTATCAGGTGTGGCTGTCAAAACACTGGTCATTTATGGTGTGTCTTCTTGCTTAAAAGTAATGCAATGTTAAAAATTCACGTGTACGTCATGGCAGTGTGGATCCGGTTACTCTTTTTTTCTACGTATTTCGTCTTCTTGACTGCATGTTTTTGATTACACTTTCTATGGTACATTTTTAGTGCTGTTTGTGTACAATTTTTGTTTGACGTAATAACTTAGTACTAAATAAACATTAGCAACATTGCGCAAATAATACTGTTTATAAAATCCATAACTTTAATTGGCGTGTTTTCCCAATTAGTCACACTCATTTTCTGCTTTGCTTACGTAGTGACTTCATCACATAAAATAAGTGCTCTGAAGACATTTGTTGCAGGACAGTTGGAGCATTAAGCATGAATGACCAAGTATTTTGTAGGAAAAGACTGCTAGGAAGGACATATTTTGTATAATGACGTTTCAGGCTGATTTCAAAAGTCGACAAATGACAGTATGGCTTGCTCTCTTCGTTGATAACCTCATTTTGCACAGCTGTTTAGGCATTAAAAATTTTTTGGACACTGCCGTCGCTTCAAATTTCTACTTCTGAACTGCCTAATCTGTTAACTGGTCATCTTATTTGAAAAAATGTGATATGCAGATGCTCATTTTAGAAAACTTCTCACTATGAACGAAAGCATCAAGACGCAATTCGGGCATTGGCATCGCCTATTGCGCGAATCTCAACCTTCTCCTCTCTGAGCCCTTACTTTTAGTACGAAATGGTATAAAGACTTTCAAAAACTAAGGAAAACAAGGAGTGCTTTCAGTCCAAAACCTGTTGATTTAAGGTTCAGTCAGTGAGCCATGATTTTAAGGAAACATCAATCGGAATTGAGATGAACTAGGCTTATTAAGGACTTGTGCCCAAACTAATCCTCACTGTTGAGAGTTAGTAAACCTAAATCCTGTTCTTTACATCGTGTAGGGATCCAAGTATTATGTCTACTATTCGAAATTATGGATATTTTTTACTACGTTACCTTTTGTAAGTCGTCACTATTGATATTTAAACCCGTTAAATTAATTTTCAGGACAATTTTTTCTTTTTTCTTTTCAAATACTTATTTCCTTAGTTGTAATGTTTTTCCATGGATGGAGCACCAACTGTTATTGCACGATACTGTGTCAGTAACCACTGTCATCACTTAATTGCTTTGTACATTTTATGATGGCAGCTACTAAGCCTGGAGAATGGGCCATGCAGGCCCTATTGCGCCAGCTAACGAGCTTGGCACGGTCAAAAATCGAAAAGGCTCTTGAAGATCAGCAAGAAACAAACCTTGTGAAAAGCATGAGATTAAATGAAGACCCAGCATATGAAAACCTGATTAGTGCATTCGGTGTTGCTGCTGAATTCGCTTTGCCATCGCTAGTATCAACATTATCATTGTGGTATAGATCTCAGCACTCTTCAGGGAAGTATTATCAATTACACCAACTTCACTGTTTTGCTTCGCCCAACAAATTAAATGAAAACGATATTTCAATGGCAACCCAACGTCCTTCTGAAGACAGTCATATTTTTGATGTTACACAGGCCACATCCGTTCCTCCTAACAAATCTGTCAAATGTGCCTCAGAATCAGCTTCCTTGTCAAAATCGAATCATGTGTTTCCACCTGATGCCTCTGTTATTTTTGAACGACGTGACGTATGTTCATTTAGTTTTGTGAATCTGATTATTTTATTTTCAGCTTGCAATCGATATAATATTTTGCCATGTCATACTTGCTGTTCTGAAACAGCTACCGTTTCATCCGGGTCATAATGATGTTATTGAATTGATTTTAGAACAGTGCTTTAGAAGATTTAATTACAGAGAAGAGTAAGTAATTCTTATTCTTGAGGTATTATTTCAAAATTGAACTGTGTCTATTTTGGAGTACCTGGTTATTATTGTATGATAGTAGTGTAAAAAGTTTTTCAATGTTTCAGATGTGAACGAGTTTTATGTGTGATATATATATATATATATATATATATGTATATATATATAAAGCTACAGAAGCTACAATTAACCAATTAGAGACCAGCTTCTATAATTATGGTTACGCTTCATTGCTGAACTTTACATGAAAGTCCATTAGTCTAAGTTGTTACATCCTAAAAAACACTTCAAGGTTAGATAGCAAAATAGTAATTATGTTACAATTGAAAAACATTATGTGAGGGAGGGAAAAATTAGCTGAATATTAGCTGTGTTCACAATTTAAAAGGTGATGCAGAACCTGCCGATCTGTCTCATTGTAAAGGATTTTCACCTGAATCATTTAGGACCTCCAACTACTGATTCTTTCATTCTAATCTTACTGCAGCTAACTTAGCTCCTTGAAGATAGCAGTAGCTTAGCATGGGTAGCTCATATCGACGCAGATCCACACAATTATCTGAACTGAAATAAAGTTCCTCAGTTAGTATGAAATGTTTCCTCGGCACACTGTTTAGAGTCAATTCATCACCACGGTAATTCCATTGATAGAGTGGGAAATTATCTTCTGATGAAGAAATATGACGTGTTGGACTCCAGTAAGTATTCTAATTGCCACAGTGAATATTTAATCAATGCACCCTCACTTGCGATTAAAATCGACAGAGTGCGAAGTACATTGAGTTATTGATAGTAGCATCCTCCAATGAATGATGATTGTAATAAGCAGTCATAAAATTTATACGTTTTAGTGCATGTAGTGATGAAAATATGTCCATTTAAATTTATTGATGTATACCAAGCACTAAAGTGCAACTTTCTGTCTTTATTTTAAATGTCGGTGATGTTAATTTGATTTTAAGAGATAAGATGTACAGTACTCTGATTGGAAAATTTCGCACTCAATTTATGAAATCTGGCATTCAAATTGATGTTTGACGACTATGTCTAAGTGATAAGGTCTGTATAGAGTTATTTGGACGTTATGGCAGCATTAATTAAGAAAATCAGAAAAAACGAAGGCAAAAATTTGTTATGATTTTTGAACTTCATATTCAGTAGCCAGTTTCAGAGTTATTACTTTTTTATTTCAGATATTACATTTCAATCGTATTAGTTAATTGGGTTGATAGTCTTTTTATACTAGTACTTCTTTATTAGTGTTGAAGCAATAATGAGTTTAATGAATAGTTTTCCTTTTTTTAATATGCAGTTTGCAACCGAAAAATAGCGAAAACATAAATCTTGTTGCTGACCTTTATGCGGAAATTGTTGGGCTTTTATTCCAGTCAAGGTAATTTTTGTTGTTGTTAGTATGGTTGGTATTTTACTGTGTACTACTAATACTACTACTGCAAAACAGCTTCTCAGGGTATATATGGGTGGGTGTTTGTCAGCTTAAAAACCTTTTTTGTACGCAGTTGGACATTGGTAAAAGAATGTAAAGATTATACATTTAATGTACTATTCAATGTTTGACTATTATTTCTAGCTCCGGTGCAGATATGCTGTGTTTTTGTGCGTTGTTTGTATTTTTGAATGTGGGGTACATTTCTTATTGATGCTATGCAAAGCTGATTTAGCCAGACAAAAATATTTATCTTGCCTTTGCCTTAATCAAAGAAATCAGTAAGAGTCTCATGATGTAGACTTCACATTCACGGGCATTTTTTAATAAGATAGATCCATACGCGCAATTATTGTTCAGTGGCTGTTACCTTTATAACACATCTACTCTTGACTGAATCGTATAGGTTCGTGAGGTGGTTGTATTTATAATAGGTTCGTTAGTATTGTGTTAGCGTTTTTACTTTTTATTCCTTTCACTTTACAATAAGAACCTGGGGCTTCAAGCTTGACTTTTGAAGTTTCAGTAGCAGTGGTGTTTCCTTTTACGGGGTGGGGTTGCTAGACCCACTCCCAACTTTCCCTTTTTACCGATCCTACTGCTGACTAAGCGAAGTTTAGGAGTGAGTCGGCCGGGGATCAAACCTCGGACTTGGTTAATGATTAGCGAGTGTTCTATCATTAAAATACCGACACGTTTTTGTATAAAATTTACATCTTAACACAGACTTCATCTATAGACTTTGTTACCGTAAAGTATCGTCATTCCTTAGTTTGAGGTTTGTACTTTTCAGTAAATATCGTGTAAGCAATGCCTAATATTTTAAAGCAATAAATCTGCAATTAATTCGAACACCTCTAGCATACTAAAATGTATTTATAATCAGTACCATTCGAAGCTGGGGAAACTGTGCTAACTTGGTGATGTGAATAACATTCGTTCATTTACCATTTTTAATCTTTATACTTGGTTTGTAGAAAGTTTTACAAGCTTTATTTTAGTTGGTCTACTGTAGTTCGTTGAAGACATTCATACCAATAAGTCACTACTGGGTAAATTGTGAGAGTGCTTGTTTTTGAGATCATTACCAACATTCATCTTTCTTAGAGAGGTTTCTTTTTTCCTTTTTCTACATAATGTGATGAGGATTGCGTCAAAGGGGTTTTAGATGATTATTGAATAGAAAGTCTAGAATTTAATGTTATCCTCAGAATGCAGAAGAAGTATATAATGTGACCTTCCGCAATTCTTTTTCTACAAAATCGATTTACACTCGGGTTTTTTTTTTAGATTTTTCGTTAAGTATAGTAATAAAACACAAGAATTCATTCATAAGTTTAAATTCCAGTCTGTTGTAACGAGCAGCAGTAAAAATTCACTAATTCATTAGACTTTCTTTTCATATAGATTCGCTCTGGTTCGTCATAAATTTATGGGCTGTTTGAATGAACTCAGATCCAAAGAAAATAGTCCAAATAACAGAGCCAGTATTGTATCTCTCATAATGGGAATGAAATTTTTTCGAGTAAAAGTAAGTGCTTTTGAATTGGAATTCGTCATCGTTTTCAGTGTCATTTGTAAGTGACTACCGTTATGTGGATTTCTTTTTTTGAAGTTGAAATTAGTCGGATTCTCACTGATACAATCTAAATGACTATCGCTTTACGGAAGTAGCAGAATTATGAAAATGTGTATTTGCAGAATGCAATAAATAAATAATAGTATGTATGAAATATCAGTGTTTTTGAAAAGTACCGATCATTTTGTATTAGGGGACAATTTCATTTGTTTGCTGTAAAAATACTTGATCCAATTATTGCTACAAGGGACAGTGTTTCTTTATTATCAGTATACTATTGTTAGACTAGAAATTATTATTTTAAAAACAAACTGTTACCACTAATGAAGTTGTCAAATAATGTTAATCGACATGGCTAAGTTTGTACTTTGCGAGTATACACCAGTAAAAAAAATTAGTTTTCTTGTAATAGGAGACTTTACCACTAGAAATATGCCGTTTTCATATAAGATAATGGTTTTGTAGGTCATAGATTCAGACATTTGACTGCCGACCAATGAGTTATAAATGCGAACTCACACCCAACCTAATATGCGTTGAGCGATCTGGTGATGTAAATCCGCCAGCATAAAGTTTTTTTTTCCTTCACGTTCCCCAGTGCAACATAGGGCTTCAAGCTTGTGGCTTGAAGTTTCTGTAGCAGTGTTTATTTTTACAGGATGGAATTGCTAGCCTCATGCCCAACCTTTCCTCTTCACCAGTACTATTTCTGGTTTAGCGAGGTAAAGGAGGGCCGGGAATCGAACCCCGGACCATGAGCATGGTCGGCCGGCATCCTAACCGCTATGCCACCGACGCCACACCAGTATAAAGTATGGTTCGTTAAAAAAGCTGAATTAAGTGACTGGGTTTTGCATTCAAATATGGCTTCAGTTCACATATCCTAACGTAAATTTTGTTTGTGCCAAAATTAGTGTTGACATATGTTGTAGTAAGTGAATACTATGATACTTACTAAAAGTATCAGAAGTATGAGTCATATAGTGTAAACAAATTGTACTGGAAAAAGTCAGGATACACAAATATATATGTATATATATATCTGCCTATCAAAATAAAGGTCATTAGTTCAGGTACGTATAATCGGCCTATCGTTTCACTTAGCACTACTTATGTGATTCCGAATATTGTAAGTATTTATTGACAACTTCAGCTTTTGTTGGAGAACTACATTTTTCATCATCACAATAATAGTAATAATTCCCTACCTATATTCTTTTAGATGCACCCTATCGAAGATTTTGTGAATTGTTTCAATTTCCTGCAAGAATTAGGTCAATACTTTCTGGAAGTGAAGGAAATCGAAATTAAGCACGTTTTATCAGATTTATTTGTCGAGATCTTGCTGCCTGTGGCTGCTGTGGCTCGCCAAGAAGTCAATATCCCAGCTTTGAAGACATTTGTGGAGAATTTATATCCGGCAAGTTTGGAATTGGCTAGCAAAAAGAAGCATGTTCCAGTGAGTCTCTTTCATGTGTTATTTATTTGTGAGGCTATGTGGAATATTAATAACCTCTTTCATACTAGTTCAAATAAAGTTGTCCTTATTTTGAAGTAATTATTTGTGTTTTGTCGAAGATCAAAAATGAACTATTTTGTCAATTGTTGTATTCCATAAACACCTAATCATCAGAGCATCTTGGAATTTCTTGTACAGTACTTCAGTACCCTAATGTTAAGGATTATAACACTATTCTAGTGTACCTCATACTATTTCTAAAATAGAAGTAATCTAGAGAGTATTTTAATGGATATGCAAGGAACTTTGGACTTCTCGACTAAGGTGTTCAAAGTACTTAGAATCAATAGGTAAGGAAGTACCTTGATTGAAATAACCTAACATCAATTTCAGTAAGACAAATTTATTCACTCTACGGTATCTAAGTTTGCTACAGTCCTACTAACCTTTATTTAAGCCTTCTCCTTCATGAATTTTATATTTTTTGTAATATTTTATTTCTGAATGTTTATGGTAGCATGAGGCGATGAACGTTTGCCTATATTATTTGCGTTACAGTTTGAACGTTCATGTATTTAACCACTCCATTTTCGGTAGGCGCATATTACATGCGTAATATTTATTGCTTGGGCTGAGTACTACCATCACAGCGACTATGCAGTGATGTGGACATTGTTCTTTAGCCTTGAGAGTGCTACACCTAAGGGGGGAATTATTGAGAAAATAATAATATTTATTGTCTGATGGACTATTTTATTTGCTTCGTTTGTCCATATGTGTAAGAACTGTACATCACTCTTTCACTAGCCGTTATAAGTTTTTTGGTTATTGATATATGATAAGTGTGAAAGGAAAAATAACAAAATCCCACCTAATAAATGTTTGTTTTCAGTTTTCTGGAAGTTATTGTATGTGCGATTTCTGTATGGTATAGTTTTAGGATGGCAAAAAGGATTTACCACCACTTTGGTCTTAGACTAATTAATAAGTATAACTTGCTTCGTGTGTTTAACTGGATTAGCATGTGAGTATTTTCAAACACTAACTGTGTAAAGCAGAATTAAAGTTTCATGCAAAAACGTTAATACTAACCGTGCATGGGGATACATTTAATTATAAAATGAATTTTCTTGTGTATCATTTGACAAAAGTATATTATGTATCACCCTAACAAATTATGTGATAGTGATGTTGGGACTCTTTCCTGCTCATATTTTCATAAAATAATGAACTCATTCTTGTACTGAGTCAATGTTTGAATACTCTACCAAGTTTATTGTTTCATTTCCTATATGGTCACACTGTTCAGTGATTTTTCTAGTGATTTACTTCGTGAACAAATGATTTGATTAACTGATTATGTGGTTGGGTAGCGTATATGGACAGAATGCTATGGATAAGATTTGCTTTCTACTGGAAGCTTCTTAGACATAGTCCAGTTTATTGGATGATTATCAGTTTGTCTTCATTGATAGTTTTTCACCACCTTCAAGTGTTACTGCCCTTCGATTAGTGTTTTCTTTACTATACCGAGCTCGCGCTTGAGAGTTGTTTATAGAAATAATAGATGATTTTATTACTGAACAACCACTCGCATTTACACGTAGTTGGCGATAAGCCATACCTACTGTGTGAAGCCTGACGCTACTAACCGGTTGCCCAAAGCTAGGCAGGCAAAGCAGGATTCTAACCCATGACCTAGTTGTTAGAAAACAATTAAATAAACCAATAAGCCGTAGTTCAATCGGAAGAAAAGGTGGTGAATAGTACTGTTCATCGATTGATCAACAAACTAAAGCCTTTTATAAATTAATATGTGTGAATGAAGTATATAGGCTTAAGAATTTCTGAGATAATTGTTTAGTTTTTTTAATAGTAGGGTAACATATTAACATCTGCATTCTAAATGATATAACCTTTTTTCCGTTGTTCAAAGGCTCTATTCCCCTTGGTTACATGTTTGCTTTGCGTTGGTACGAAACCATTTTTCCTGAATAACTGGACCAATTTCTTGTCTATTTGCTTGAGTCATCTTAAAAACCGAACTTCTAAGGTTGCTTTGGTCAGCTTACAATCACTGTCATGTATATTATGGTGAGTAAATGGTTTTTTTGTCTCAATTTCCCCATGCAAACTTTCTATCCCAGTCACATTAAGTGACGACGCGATGGACTAGGAACGTGGTCTATGCTAGTTATATTTATTAATTATTGTTAACCATCAATGAGTGATCAAAACGAAAACGCCTTGGCGGAGTGATGTCATGATGTGATCGGTCGACCTGTGAAATTTAATTTTTACTTTTTCATTTTCATTTTCTCCTGGGATTACAGTGCTTAGTTTTAAGTGCATTAAAAGGATAATATTGTGACATATTTCCCTACTATCCAGATGTTGTAATATTGAGTTCATTTGTCTAGGAATTCACCTGTAACATTTAATGCGTATTAGATGTTGTCAACACAAGGCTAAGTGTCTCCAAGTTATAGGTTTAATTTTTCCTCTGATTACCGATGTACACCTGTTTAATAATGCTGAAAAATAATTGAATCAAAAACTAATATTGCTTGAAAAACTACTTCTGTAAGCTGTGATTGCCTAATTCTATTTTTGAGGCTTGTGGGGTAAAGCTGAAATGTAGTGATACTTGCTTTGAATTGTACACTTGTTAATTGAACCACTTTTCACTTTATCATTATAAATTATTTATATATTCATTTATTTACTTGTTATAAGGGTTTATATTGTGCGTATCAAAGGAGAGAAACACACAGAAACGCAAAACAAATTGCATACAATCATTAACAGTTTATTTCCGAAAAATCAGAAAATCATCCTACCCAAAGATGCGCCAATTAATATATTTGTTCGAATAATTCAGTTCATTGCTCATGTAAGTTACTCTCAAGCGGCCTATAACTGGTTGTTTCCTTTCTCTTATAACACTGGTCAAGGGATTCATTTTAGTCTGATAATTAAGGCAGGAGGTTAGGGGGGACATTTCAAATAGTTGAAGATATATATATATACATGCATTCTGGATCGGGATAGCAATACAAGCGTTCATTCGTCTGAAATCACTGTGGAAATCCACAGCTGTTAGCTTAAGGAACAAAATCTTAATCTTCAATACCAACCAAAACCTGATCATCTAATAAATAGGCAGAAGGAAATACGGATGGATCGGATGTACGCTGAATAGTCTGTTTGACATCACATGCTAGCCAGTTGAGTGGAACCCGAATGGGGTGCGATGGGTTGGGAGTCCAAGTATAACGTGGAAAAGATTCTGTGAAGAGGAAGCAAAAGCTTGTGGGCAGTTGTAGAGCCATCTGATAGCGATGGCAATTAACGGGTTGCAGTGGAAATATATACCTGAAGTCCTGTTACATGAGCAACACAGCAAATGAATTGTATATATATATATATATATATATATATATATATATATATAATAGTCAATATGATCAAATTAATTATATAGAGCTGTGGGCACTAATAAGTCTGAAAGTACTTTATTGATTTCTTCAGTGAATAGTCCCAGTAAAATCACTTCTACCTCAGGTTTATATTATTAATAAATGTCTATTTTTCGAAGTAACTTAAAAAGCAAACAGGTAAAATAAGTCACTTTATTATTCCTTGAAATGTATTTATGTGTCCTAAGCTGTCCAATCTCTTCACTATTAATTAGGAGAAACTTGACTTTGCGATGAAAGAAGTCATCATTGATCGTTTGGGGGTCAATGGATCACAGAAAGCCTTAGTTATGCCAGAGGTAATTTTATTATTTCAAAATTCTTATTACTTGTTTGATTATTAAATCGATATGAAATATGTCAAATTGACTAGCTATAAAACTTGATAATATTTGTGTATTCATTTCATTTTGTTGTATAAACTCTATAGCATTATGTTCTGTTTACTAGAAGATTCTTTTCAGCAAACCTTTCAAACGTAGTATGATTCCACAGAATTGGAGTACATCGACTCCTAGCTTAAAGATAGGAATTGAAGTAGTAGGGTGTGTTGACCACTTCACTTATCGAAGAAGTTGCATCAACCCGAATAGCCTGATGGCTGACGAAGTCTCAGCACGGATGCCGCAGACGCGCGTAGCATTTTCCAACTTACGTCATCTCTTTAGTCGATGGCATATCCGGCTGTCGACTAAAGGGATGTGTGTAGTGCGCAGCAATGCGCTCCGTACTCCTTCATGGCTGTGAGACATGGCCATTTAAAGTGGAAGATACAAAAAGATTAGCTGTCTTTGATCATTGGTGTCTGCGTTCTATTCTCCGTGTTAACTGCTATAATAAGATGAGCAATATTGAGGTTAGGCTTCAGGTGCTAGATAAAGAGGGGAAATCAATCAACGAGGTTGTGAAGCTACATCGATTATTGAGATGGCTGAGACATAACATATGTTACTCATGTCTAGCCATCGTCTTCCTCGACGGGCAATATTAGCTGACATAGGATGGATCTGGTTGGAAAAAAGTTAGAAGTGGTCAAACCAAAACCTCTCATCAGTCCATGAAGTCTTTGACGGTTTATTTGAAGTGTAGAATGCTTAGCTGGGGAATGGGGATGCTCAGAACCAATGGCTATAGATAATTCGTGATATGGTTGAAAATCGTTCTCAGTGGTGCACACTCATTCACCCTCTGTGATCTCTCCACTAAGCTGTTATGTTTTCCATCTTACTATTACCTTCTCCCTCACATTTCTGCTTATTATGGTTCTGTTGAATCTCTTTCTTCCTCTCTTTTCTTTACTTTTCTGTGGTATGTGGAGTGTGACAACTTGAACTTCTGCACTTCTGTGCTGAGTTCTGTGTTGAAACCCAGTCAGCCAGCTTGTTCAATTTGCTTTGTGTTTTAATCGTCATTGATTGACTTCATAAGTTGTGACTTATTTTTGGTTTCTTTTAAGGTTATTATTCTGAAATAGGTTATACAGTTAGTCCTCGCTTTACTTCCGTCGGAAAAGTTTGACAACATAAGTGTTTTCAGATGTTGCGTTTGTGAGGATTTCGTTGATTTCAGGGTGGATTTTGTTATAAACCAATATCATTTACAGAATCATTGAAAACAGAGAATACTAGACATCTGCTTTTTGATAATTGTTGTCTGAACAAGAGTTTATCCTTTGCATTTATTTCTTATCTGTTCAGGTGTCTCGAGTGTATCTCATTATCTGTTTATTGTTTTTTTGTTATACTCTGTAGAGAATTAACGTAGGATTGTGTGCTTTCTTACTAATAGCACATGGTCTTCAACAGAAAGACGGTGAACCTCCCATGCCTCAACAGTGTATTGGTGCTGGAGGCGTCGGTGGTGGGTTTAGACAGGCTGTCATTAAGCGATCTTTTCACGGAACCAATTTAAATGAAGCTTTAGGTTCCTTACTAGGAATACAAAGCTATTTAGTACCGGTTCGTAGAGCTTTTGAGCTCATTTTGCGTCAATTGGATACACAAGTCTGTCGTACAATGATGTTACCGAAGCAAGAAGTAACTCAAAAGGAATTTGATGAGTTAATGACGTAAGCATTAGTTAATTTTTATGATATCCCTACTGCGTTAGTGAGCATTTGACTGGAATATGTTTGTAATTGTATTTTATTTACTGCTTTGTCTCCTTTTTATTGTCTATTGTTGATTTTGGGATGTGCGATAATGCTGGATGCCATATTGTTGTTGCTTATCTGTTTGGAATAGTCGAATAGGGGTGTAATTTTTAAAATGAACAAGGGGTTTAGGAATTATCCATTCCTCCAACCTCTTAGGTGTGACATTTGCATCACATAGTTTTTTTATTCAGATGATATTATTCTTCCGGGAATATTGCAGCAATATCACATATTCTTTCATGTATGGCTCATGAAATGCTGTTTTATCATATGGGTCTTATAATTTCCTCCGCATCTGATTGGTTGTCTGATAACAGAATTCGGGTGCTTTAATCGTACATTGCCTTATCTATAGTGCCCGTGATACCTCTGCTAACTCTTCAGATATCGAGTGTGCAGCATACTAATGTTACCTCTTGACCTATTTGAATGTAAATTATATTCCTAAAAATATGCAGAATGTCATAGGGTTATAAGCTCTTAACAAGCAACACTTCCAAACAGATATTCACTGATCCGAATAGGGTTCATTTAAACAACGCAATTTATAGGTTGTTGTATGGTCTTCTTATATTCTTAGTAAATAAAATAAACAATTTTTATTAAAATACGACATCGTTTAGTTAAACTTGTTAGGTGAAACTTATTTTTATCTTAAGGTAATGTGTATAAAATATTCTGTTTCTTTGCATCTGTATCAATATGCACTTCCTGTTTTGTGTTTTTGTTTTGATAGGGCAGATCGTAAACCAAAATTAGACTTGCTAAAAACTTGTGTTGCATGTATTCCACGTCTGTTACCTATCGATATGACTAAGCAAGAGATTTTAGAAATATTGGCTAAAGTTTGCTTACATGTTGACGAAGATGTCCGAAAAATGGCTCAGCAGGCGATGGCAAATTTAATAGTGGAGTTACCAGCTTATAGAGTTAAGACGATACAAGGTTGGTAAGGAGTTTTTATTCGATTGTTAAGATTTACATTCTTTTATTCTTGTCGATGAATTAACCCCGATTATGGCTAGTGTATGCATCGGTGGTTCAGTGATAGAATGCATGCTAACCACGCGTGTAGTCCTGGATTCAGTCCCCGGCCGGCGCATTCCTAAACCTCGCTAAGACGGTAGAGTAAGGCTGGCAAAGAGGGAAGGTTGGGCGTGAGGCTAGCAACCCCACCCCACTGCTACTGAAACTATTTCGAAATTTTAGCCTGAAGCGCGAAGTTCCACTTGGAACGTAAAGGAATGAAATAGTAGTAAAATAGTGAACCGTTTGTGTATGTGCACAAATATTTTAGAATATATTGGCATAGTCTTTTCCACAGTTATTATAAGAAAGTAACATTTTCTCTTATATACATATATTGTGCAAGTAGTCTATTGTAATAGCGGAAAAACATTAATTCACTTGTGGTGGTCAGTAATGCTTTTTCAATACGAATTGATGTTATACCTTGTTACGTAGTACTGATCAATTTTACAAAGTTGCAAGATATAACTAGCAGCTGATTCAATCACTGGTTGTTATTATTTATTTTCTGTACTTATGTATAATGGAAGAAAATTTGTCTGCTAATTGGTGAGGACATTTCATGTTGTAGTTTCGGTCGACAGTAACTTTTTTTTTCTGGATAAAAACCAAACTCAGGAATTTCATAGTGGTTTTTGTCATCTGAGTGATTTCGGTCAGTTATTTTTTGGTTATACCTTCTTTTCTGTCAACAGATTGTTTGATTGGATAGTCGCAGTTGATGTTGTAGAATATATAAGGTTCATATGTTTTGTAAGCTGTGATTAACGGATAGTTTGATAAGAAAATGATTCTGTTTGATGAAAGTTCTCGGGCTAGTATGGTTATTTATAATCAGAAAAATTATTGTTTTGAACAAAAGTAATAAGGTGAAATAAGCAACACAAAAAAGGGTATATCATGCTCAGTTTCGATGTGTTTTATGTACTCACGTTATACACTATTAATTAATATTACTATTACGACTATTATTACTTATCAATGTTACTGGTGGTGTTATTGTTGTTAATTTTTAATTTATTTTATGTTAGCAATCCACGCATATACTTATTTTCTGTTTTATTTCTCTAAAGTTTTTATACAATTCATTCAAAAGAATGTGACTGATACTTCACCCCATCAACTGGATAGCTGTTTGAAAACTTTATTTCACTTGTTAAATAACTGGAAGTTAGCCTTGCAGAAGGTAGGTTATATCTTACTTACTTACTTTTACTTTACTTCGGCTATCTCCTACGGGAGGATGAGCCGGCTTCATAAACATCTCGAATCATCGCTGCCCAGCCGCGGCGATCTGATGAAGAGAGTTCATGAAGTTTCATGGGAATTTGGTACGAGTGATGTCCCCAGAACCGCTCGGCCTTTTGTTTGAGAGTGCAGCTCTAGCCTTTACACAACCAAGTGTGACCTACAAGGCAGTAGGAGTGGAGTAGGGAGTCCACTATCCATTGGCAGCCGGTGACCGGAGTTCGGTTCATACGCCTTTTTGAATGGGGCCAGACATCCAGGACATCCAACAAGCCCTTTGTCCATACGTCTGCCGGTGAGCTCCAGTGAGCTTCATACGCCAGTCGTTGGAGGTTTGGAATCAGGGTTTAGCCATCTCCCCTAGACTGTCATCCAATGGACAGTCAAACCGGTGAAGAGCGCCGGGCATCCGCCTATATGTAGTCAGTGTCATGATGAGTGGGGGTGACTGCGTTTTTGATTATTAAATTAATTGAATAATATTTTTGCATTTGGTGAACGGTGACTAACAGTGGATATCCAGGATGCGCATTTCCTCCTATTTGGAACTAGCCAGCTGAATGCACCTACAATCTCCAGTGAGAGTGGTGGTGTTCCCTGTGAGACTCGAACCTAACACCCATCATTTCAAAGACTAATGCGAACACCATCGCTCACTGAAGATTGCAGGTACATTCATCTGACTAGTCCCAACTAGAAGGAAATGCGCATCCTGGATTCCACTATTGGTCATCATTCACCGAATCCTCAGACATCGTCAAAGTTTCTGTACTAGAAGCCGACGTGTCAAATGAGACCGGACATTTCAGTCCAATATAATCGGTCAATGAGAAATAGGAAATTATCCTAAGCAAGTAATATTTTTCCCACTATTTCTTTGTAACTATTTGTTTCATTTTAGTATACTACTAATAGCGAAATATTTTCTATGCATTTGAGAGAGTGCTTGTCTACATACTTCTATTCTGTGAAAGACACATTATTTACGTTGGAATCAACGATTCCACGGCGCCCCTTAGAGTAGACTTTAGTGGAGTGAATTCCTCTGTACATAGGTGTAAATGAGTGAATTCACTCTACATTCTCATTGTAAATATCACCGGGTCAAATAGTTTCAACGAAATTGTTGTGTTTACCGTTCACACCTTCTCTGTAAATCAATAAATAATTTTCACATTGGATTGTGACCTAGTTAATTTGAATGTTGATGATTTATGTCTGATTTCCCACAAACTGGAAGATATGCAAGCGGAAAGCAACAAGTTGGCAGAAGAAGCATCAAAGAGAGAACTTCAGGTGAACATAGAGAACACAGAGGTAATGAAGATTCATGGACAAGAACAACAATAACAGACAATGATCAGCATAAATGGGAGGAGCCTGAAGGAAACAACTTCTTTCACCTACCTGGGAAGCATCGTTTCAACTACAGGCGGAACTGACGAGGATATCAAAGCAAGAATCGGAAAAGCAAGACAAGCTTTCACTACTCTCAAGTCTGTGTGGAGGTCAACAGCACTCAGCATCAAAAATAAGATCCGGATTTTCAACTCCAATGTGAAGTCAGTGCTACTATACGGATCATAGACTTGGCCGGCGCGTCATAAAGAGCATCTCAAACAAACTACAGACCTTCATTAACAGTTGTCTTCGCTCAATACTCAAGATCAGATGGCCGGCCAGAAAAGATCAGCAACGAGGGAGGATCTCTGGGAGCGAACCAACCAGGAACCGATTGTGAAACAAATAGGCAGGAAGAAATGGAGATAGAGTGGCCATATTCTGAGGAAACCATCAAGTGACATCACTAGACAAGCCATTGCTCAAGTGGAACCCGAAAGGGAAGCGGCGAGTTGGTCGTCAGTGCAAGGGTGACTTGGGGGAGGTCATGTGAAGAGGAGATGAAAACGTGTCGGCAGACTTGGAGCCAGGTGAAGACTCTAGCAGAGAACAGAACGCAATGGAGACGCATGGCTGAAGCCCTATGTTCCTCTAGGAATTAAAGGAAACATTAATCATAATTTGAATGTGGATACAGGGGAGAGATTTACTTCCTATACAGCAGTGACCAATCTTCATCGATATAAAAGCCAGTTATATGTATGTATGTTTTTTGTTGCATAAAGTATGACGGAGTTTTATTTCGATTATTTTTTTTTGTTTTTTTTTTAAATTGATTTAATGATAGTTTTTCACTAAACAAGGATGCAATGCTAGTGTGTATCATTGGTTTTCGCTCCCCTTATATGTTTAATTTCAGAGGTACTATTGTTAACAATTGTTGTCAATTGACCTTTATCATTAGTTTATACTAGAACCTTTTTTAATAACTTCACTTTCACAGATAGTAGTCTATTATTGCATAATCTACTTTGCCTAACTTTGTATATAGTTGTACACTGTGTAAAATGAATATTTATTGATATTCAAGTATTGTTTTATTGGAATACGTTCTACAAGATTTAAGATTTCCTTTTCATTGTATACTCACATTCCACGTGTTTCTGCATTCTAAGGACGGAGCTGTCACACCCAATATGGCTGAAAAATCAGCATTGTATGAAGCTGAAGGATTTGCTTTAGTTATGTTATGCAGCTGTCGGTCGATAACTCGGCGTCTGGCTGTGTACATTCTTAGAAAATGCCGAGCTTTATTAAACCTAATCCAATCAGCAACTTATGATCCAACTTTAAAACAGTCAAATGATCTACGGGAAATGTGTTGTATAGATGTTCTGGATCGTTCAGTACCTGTAGTATTGAAACGTATTTTACCCATCCTACCTCTCAGTGAAAGGGTAAGCCATAATCTTTTGAAGTACATGTAAACAAACGTTTGTAATTGTATTATGGAGCTGCTCCATGCGTACATTTTCAGTCAATAGTCACTATTTGTTATTTTTCGATCTGTCATATTTACATGCATCTCATTTTAGTGACAACTTCATAATTTGTCATAACATGCAGCTGCTTTTGCTAAATGCTATACTCGAGGTGCTAAAACTCACCTGTACACATTATCCTATGCTGCGTTTCGACTGCTGTATATTTCTGAGTTTTTGTCTTGCATAAAATCAGTCGGCAACAGAGTTCTGTATGGAAGTCAGTTAATATATTTAACTGTTCGATTATTATTTTGATAAAATTACACAGTGTCATACAGAAATATTTACTGATGACGTTTCGAGCACAAATTATTGCTCATAATCATATCAAGGTTAGATTATAATATCCTCTATCTGACAGTTGCAGTGGTAAGTTAGTTTTCCTAGGTTACTAAAAGGTATAAAACCAGGGTAAAAGAACATGGAGAAATGATGACTAGTGAAGCAGTTGAAAAGTCCATTGACCAATTTAACTGGAGCAGTACAAATCGCTTGGGTGATCATATGTCATACTGGAAATTAAAAGAAATGAAAAAAGTGGATGAATGTTATCAAAATGTATGTAATGAAAGTTGCATTACAGTTAACACACAGTTTGTTTCAAATAAAGTAAATAAGTAGGTTTTCCTCCGACGGTGGTTAGGTGTACTAAAGAAGATCACATACAATTTATTTTTACACACTGGTAAACAGTTGAGACAAAAATATTTCATTTGCGCAAACAAAGAAACAGTAGCTAGAAAATGACCTGCACTACATTAACGTTTTGTTTCATTACGTGTCTAACAGGTTCTTAGGTCTGCATTAACCATTTGGGCCTTCCTGACCTGTCCGAAACTGCACCCACTAGGAATCATTTTGGATGATTGTTGGAAGAAGTTCTGGTGCCTGTTAGAAAGTTGTTGGAGAGATATTCCTTATTTTCCCACAACATTCTTGATCATACAAAATAAAGTGTTGTGTGTTGTATTTCCTCTCATCTTTTCCATCGCATAGCACGTCTTTATATTACTGGTTATTCTTCTTTTTGTACTACTTTGATTTTACAGTCTGCTTTGTCGTCAGTATCCAGTTTGGATTTTTCAGTCTTCACAGAGCGGTCACATCCTGTATGGTTTAGTGGTAGTACCGCTCCCACTTACTCACCGATAGTTCTCCCTGCAAACTGTTTAAATAATAACCAGTATTCTGGTTTAATGTCTGGAAACGATGTGCAGCATAATGAAACCAGATTTGGTAACTTATCAAGTCGTCATGATCTGAATAGGCCAAATTATCATAATAACAATAGTCCATGTGGAGGGGATTCAGTGACTGCTAATATGAGTGAAAAATCTAAACTCGACGAGACATCTGTACAGGAAACATTTACAAAAATCGGTAAGCACAGTTCTAGTTTCGATTTGAATGATTTTTACAACCTGATACATTGTAGTGACTTAAACCGATTTAGTTTTGTTCAAGAGTCTATTGTGTAGTGTCTATCTGTTGTATTGCATTATAATCCTGATGGACGAATTTAGTTAGTTCATTTAGTCACTTTATTAGTGGATTTTTTCGACTGCTCTACACAATCGCTATTGTTATACGATATGGACAGTTTCTTTTCAACTTCATGTGGCAGTAGTAGTGTATTGTGTAACAGGATTAAATGAGCACTGCAAATTCATTGCAAACCTACAGGTTTTACGTTCGGTCTAGATTTGGCAGACGACGTTTTTGGCACTAGTGATAATTTTCAGTTACCATGCACATACATTATTGTGAATTATAAATATTAGGCGTCACAGTAGTGTCAACATAGATCTTGGTGTGTTTCCCACTAAAGTCATGTTCGTTACCTTACCCGCACATTTTTTTAATTTCATTAAGTTTTTATTTTATTGTAGGATCACTAGGTTGGTTGAAATATGATCTAGCATTTTATCAAATGTATTCAACTTGCTATAAAACTGAGGTATATGTCGAATTGGATTCCGATCACAAGTCTATTCCGAATGGCCTAGTATTTAGAATTAAGTAGTTTTGATGTATGTCGATTTGTGAGGTGAGGTATTTTCAACCTATGTGTGTAAGCCTTAAACTAGTTGTTTGCAAATATTTCTTTTCGTTCATCTGCTCAATAGCCATGCCAACACAGTTAGTTATGTCTCAAAGTAACCATAGACACTTGGTTTCATTGTCGGTTATTTTGAATCTAGGTTTCCTTAGAAAAATCGATTGCAAACAGGAACTTTCGATTAGTGTGTTACGTGATTTTTTACTGGTCTTTGTGATGGTCATCATCAGCACTCATCTCTAATAAATATTTCACTCTTGCAACAATTTTGTTGCCTCAGGATGTCGGATGTGTCCCAGTCTTCATCTACCCCATTTATTTAATGGATTTACTGGAGGTTAGTAATTTATTCAGAGGTTAATTCTGGTTTGATACTGTTTAGTCTAACCGTGAAACCCACACCAGTAAGAAACTGAATGTGATGCTGATAGTGTTCCATTTAATTCTTGCAAATCTAAATTACTTCTGAATAACAGCTAACCTAGAGCAAACTAACTATTTTTAATAATTGAATGCCTTGCAGGCATTGAAATTCCACTCTTGTTTTTTTTTCAAAAGAAAAATTTCTATCTCTGAATCACCAATTTTTTGTTTCCGGTGTGAATTAACGCTAAATCACGGAAAAAGGTGGAATAAATGAATGATTATATCAAAAATGTAGTCATTCTGTCTTCATAAAATTATGGAAATTATATATATGTTTGACACAGGCCATTTTACTATCTTTTTGCCCTTACTTCTTACTACTGTGTGATTATTTGTCGTTGATGCTGTCATACAAACAATATTATACTTAATTAAAATACAGGTGTAACAGCATAATAATTTGAGATATTCTTTACTTCCTAACGATTCTGAGAAGATGTAGCAGTTCAGAAGCCGAAGTCAGTTAAGTATTTCATATTAAACTGAAGAGTAATTCCTTTCTTACCAGACTTTGGTTTATATCATGTGAGATCGCCAACTGCGTATTTGTGCTTCGGTGTACCCTAACTCAGGGTACCAGTGCGACTCAACATTGGTGAATGGATACGTGGGTGTTATTCTCTTATTTCACTTTGGTCAGACAAGCTGTTTTCACAGTTTGTCCTCGCACACAGGAGTGGATGATTACTGTCGACCCAGCTAAAGAAGAGAGGTAAACATAACCAGTAACCTTTTTTATCTTGGAGAATAGGAATGACTTTTTGGTTATGCATATGATTGACTAATCTAGAAAGTGGGTGAGAGAAGCTAACACAGCTATTTTTAAATACCTATACTTTACGAGGTATGATAAGTGGAGACTTTGGGTTTTCTGTAGCTCAAGCTGTGGGATTGTCTTTTTCTGGATTAGCAGTGTTTGTTTAACATCGTCGTTCAGCTGTTTCCATTCATTTTAGCTTTACCATTAGTATTCTGAAGATGTTTTTCAGTGCTCTACCCGTTGATAATGCTTTTGTATCACCCCAAAGAGGGATGTTTTCTGCATTGATTATGCAACCAACATGTCGTTATACTTACCACCTAAACCCCACTTGGTAGTTTGGTAATCTGTATTACCTGTGGGTGGTAGAACCATATAAACTCATATTATGGGACGTTACGTCTTTTTGAATTACTCGGTGAAGATTGTGAACAAATTAGTCTTAGAATGTCTCCGCCAACAGATGCTACCAACCAATGTCAAATATAAACCACCAATTAACTGTCCTCTGGGGTGGAAATTATCCAAACAACACGGAAAACAAATGGTAAAGCTAATGATCACTGATGCCTACAATCGGATTGAAGAATACCAGCATATGGTAAAATTTCAAAAGGAAATGTTTGAACGGACTCTCAACCTAGAACATCTATCAACATTGAACACTGCCATTAAAGTATTGAGCGAACGACACAAAGAACGAAGGCGAGTTGTCCTCAAACAAAAATTGGCTAAGATTTGTAAACAACCATCTGAAGAAACGCTGAATGATTGTGTGGTAAATTTATAGAAACAATCATTATCAAAGATAGAGGAACAACTTCTTCAGAAAGGACTGAACTACAATACTGCTGACGCATCAGAAACAGATTTCTGTGCTTCTTTAGAATCATCACTCAAATCATCAATATTAAACGAGGAAGTACAACAGTAAATACATCAATGTATCATTCCCATAATCAAACAGAAAAAACATAATACCCAACTTAACACTCAAGAGCAAAATGCATTGAAGCAATTGAAGAATAGAAAAGACATAGTTATAGTACCAGCTGACATAGGAAAAACAACAGTAATCCTGGACACAGAAGACTACATAAAAAAAGCAGATGATTTACTCAAAGATAGTAATGTATATCACCAGTTGACGAAAAACCCTATACAAACATTAGATAACGAAATCAAAATAACACCAAATAAACTAACGAAATCAGGGCAAATTACAAAGCAAGATCAATGGCGAATGAAATCTAACGGACCTGTTTACCTAGATTTTACGGTAGTTTGAAACTACACAAACCGAACATTCCTTTACGATCAATCGTTTCGCTGCCGGGAACACCAACATATAATCTATCTTAAGAACTTTTCAGAAAATTTAAATACCTAACAGAATCATGTGACCATTCTATCAATTGGCCAATCCAATTTTTAGAGTAAGTCAAAAACATCCAAGTAAACAACAATGAAATAATGGTATCCTTTGATGTCACAGCGTTATATACTTCTATTGGTCCGAAACTGGCAAAATAAACTATGCAACAACTACTTTATGGCTATGAGAACACAAAAAACAGTTTCCAACTTGGATGGAACTCATAGAATTATGTCTTACAACATACTTCCAATTCAATAATCAAATATACGAACAGATAAAAGGAACACCAATGGGATCGCCCATATCAGGATTAATAGCTGAAGTCGTTATGCAAAGATTAGAATTAAGAGCCCTACCCATAATTAAATCAAAAATTCGGGTACGCTACATTGATGATATATTTGTAATAATTAAAAGAAATAATTTGGAATATACTCATAAATTAATAAATAGCACATTTGAAGACATCAAATTCACAAGAGAAGAAAAATTACACACCGAAATCCCATTTTTAGATATCTTAATCAAGAGAACTAACACAGGAAATTTAAAAAGTATAAGTATATAGAAAATCAACGCACACTGACCAAATACTCAACTATAATATTATTATTATTATTATTTCCTTTAATTCCTAGAGGAACATAGGGCTTCAGCCATGCGTCTCCATTGCGTTCGGTTCTCTGCTGTAGTTTTCACCTGGCTCCAAGTCTGCCCACACGCTTTCAATTCCTCTTCACATGATCTCCTCCAGGTCACCCTTGGACGACCAACTCGTTGCTTCCCTTTCGGGTTCCACTCGAGGGCTTGTCTAGTGATGTCACTTGCTGGTTTCCTCAGAGTGTGTCCAATCCATCTCCATTTCTTCCTGCCTATTTGTTTCACGATCGGTTCCTGGTTGGTTCGTTCCCAGAGATCTTTGTTGCTGATCCTCTCCGGCCATTTGATCTTGAGTATTGAGCGAAGACAACTGTTAATGAAGGTCTGTAGTTTGTTTGAGATGCTCTTTATGACGCGCAGTGCAAGTCTATGATCCGTATAGTAGTACTGACTTCACATTGGAGTTGAAAATACGGATCTTATTTTTGACGCTGAATGCTGTTGACCTCCACATAGACTTGAGAGAAATGAAAACTTGTCTTGCTTTTCCGATTCTTGCTTTGATATCCTCGTCAGTTCCTCCTGTAGTTGAAATGATGCTTCCCAGGTAGGTGAAAGAAGTTGTTTCCTTCAGGTTCCTCCCATTTATGCTGATTGTTGTCGGTTGTTGCTGTTGATGTTGGCCAGGAATCTTCATTACCTCTGTTTTGTCTATGTTCACTTGAAGTCCTATCTTTGCTGCTTCTTCTGCCAATTTGTTGCTTTTCACTTGCATATCTTCCAGTTTGTGGGAAATCAGACATATATCATCGGCGAAATCCAAATCCTCCAAGGCTTTTGTGTCGGTCCATTTTATGCCTGTTCCCTCGTTGGTTGCCGTTGTCTGCCGCATTATCCAATCAACTGCAATCAGGAAGATCATTGGTGACAGTAGACAGCCTTGTCTCACTCCCGTCCTCACTTCGAAGGATTCCGTGAGCCTCCCGTTGTGGATTACTTGGCATGCAGCGTTGTCATACAGCTGTTGGATGAGATGTATAATTGTCGGTGGCACCCCGTAGTAGCGAAGTAGTTGCCAAATCACCTCTCGATCGACGCTGTCGAAGGCTTTCTCAAAGTCGATGAAGTTGAGATAGAGAGGTGACTGCCATTCCAAA